CAGATTCCTGGAATTGCTGAGGCACCTCCATGCAAGGTTTCATTGAGGTTGTCTTTCCACATGGAAAGGGAAAGTACTATGCACTGATTCTGGACAGATGGTTTCCCCTCCCGCCCCTTCCCCGCACAGATACAATAGTAAAGGGTATTTAGAAATTCTGCTAGTAAAGCAGACTGGAAGATAGGCAAATACAGCTCTCTTCTCTTTTTCCCTCCTCTGGCTCATATTGCACAGTAGCTAAGCAGCAAAGAGGAGTGCATACATAATCTGCATTGGTATTTGGATTTACAAGACATTTACTGTAATTGAACAGGCAGTAACTCTATTGATCTGGGAGCAGAAGGGAAAGAATTGAAAATTCACATTCAAACTGTAATAACTGTTTTCAGTGACCCTTTTGATATGGATATTACAATATTAAGGATCTGGTACCAATTCATTAAGTGAGATATGAACCTTGCATTCATCAGTAAATTCGCAGAGCCTTTTTAGGGTAATACTTTTTAAAGTAACAAAGAAAAAGTCTCCAGCTTTTGAAAGTGGCTGAAAGATTTTTATCTGTGCACTGAGATTTAACACTCTCATTCCATTATGACCTCATTATTACAAGATTAGCAGACATCGTGTGACTGCATCTGTGCTTCCACTATGAGCTCACTGTTGCCTATGAAATGAAAAGGTTTTGTATGTGTTAAAAGGATTTCCCACCACATTAGCACATTTGGACATCATTCTTTGCTAGAGATGATGAATGTGCCCAATGCACAAGTTACTAGCAGTCTCTTTTCTCTATAAAGAAATACAGACCAACCAATCTTTTGAGATATTACATATCCATTGGTAATTGACCCATAACTCATTTAAAGAGGAGACTGTTGAAATTTTAGGTCCCAAAATTCACTTATCAGAAATGTGTGCTTATGGTGCCTTAAGGGTGGATTCCAGATATAGTTTTTCTGTTTGCTGCCAGGCTAAATTGCTAAAAGGGAAAAAAAGCCACGGTATGGTGACCTATTATATCAACAAATCCACTTGTGTGCTATTGTTATGCAACTCTGGCAGTGTAAAAGATGGCTGAGAGAATTGTTAATAGGATTCAAAGCCTAATTGGACTTCAGCCCCCATCCCTCAGATTACTTATGTGCGATAAAGATAATCCTATGTCATGCTCTGGGTGTAAATTGATCAGGATTAGGGTGGATTCTTTTCTACAGTGATGGAGGGAAGAACTGGTTAGGTGTACTCAGGGCCAACGAGGGGGGGGGGGGGAAGCCGGTACAAATTACCAGGGCCCGGCGGTCCGGAAGGGGGCCCGGGGCCCGGCTTCCCCGGTTCCCCCCCCCCCCCCCCCCCCCCCCCCCCCCCCCCC